CAGAATAATTTTTCGATAATAATTACCTGTTATAGGAACAGGACTGTAAGAAAATATACAATATATATTTAGTCTTTTTTTAATTCTCATTGTGCATAAACTATAATCAGTGTGTGAAATTCAATGTTCTCAATGTTCTCCGAGAACATTAATAAAATTTTAAGATCATAATTCATTAAAATATGTTCTCTATGTGAAAACATTAAATAGATTTTTTTAATATTATACAAATTTAATTTTTCTATATTGAGAACATTAAAAAAATTTTGAGAACGTTAAGGACCAGAAAATGTTCTAAGTGGGAACATAAAATCAAAATTGAATTTCACACACTGACTATAATAATAATTATCGTATTCTGAATGAATAGTTTCTAGCCATAATGGGTATTATTGGTGGTATTTGGAGCGCTTTAGGAACTTTTTATGTATCCTTATTTGATAATGTTAACTTTTTTTGAATTAAATCACCTTTTTTTTAATGATTACTTATTTATCTCTTAAATAATAATTTAGGACTTGATTTAGTTGCACCATGGGGTTTAGTGCAAAAATTGGTTAAAAATAAATTCAAACAAAGTCTCTTACCATTTGTAGTAAATTTGCAACCTGATAGGCATGACAATGAAGAAAACATAAACTCTTTAATTCAAAAAAAGCTCTATGATTTAGAAAAAAGAGCTAGTCGTTTAGAAAAACTTAATCTATTTTATGAAGAATATGTTTTCGGTGCTTCATTATTAGATTTTGTTAAAGTGGATTCCCCTCGTATTTATAAAAATGAGGGTGATATCTCTTTGATCTTAAATAATAACGAAAATAGCAATATTGATGAAAATAAGTAATGAACTTGTATTACTGAATTTGGAATATTATATAAAAATCTTAAAAAAAAGTGAAAGTTTTACAAATAGTAAATTTAAAGTTTTGCCCGACGAAACAGTTCAAATCATATTTTGGCCAAGTTCTATATATTTCATTTTATTTATTTGGTTGTTTCATTTGTACAAAATTATTTATTATATTATATTATATTATATATTATTTTCTATATTTATTTTTGTTTATTTACAGACTGATACTTATATGTTGCTATAGACATTAAAAATCCTTTAATAAAAAGAACATTTTTAAAAAATTATGTAATAAATATTTGTGTAAAAAAAAAAAAATCAAATATACTAAATTTACAGAAAAACATTTACACATCCTATAAATAATTATATATGTTATTGTATTTATTTCTCATCCTCATCTGGTCCAGATATACAGTGTGCATAAAAAAAAATTTTATTTCTGTAAATGTACTTCTCTTTAAATGCATATTTTTTGAGAGATGTACTGTACATAGGTTTCTATATAGTGACTATTATCGCTTTGCATTAATAAGTTTGGCAGTTAAGAGCTATTGACGTGATTTGGAGTTTTGAAGTATTTTAAAGTTAAGTCAATATATAACTTAATTTAAAAAATCGCATGAAGATAATTTCTGCACATTGTGATTTTTTTATTCACAAAAGTCAAAATTCAATTATTATCAGTTATTGCGTAATTGTATTTGTTTAATTATTCATTTCTAATACAGTATACTAATTGCTTGTAAATCGCTTAGTCGCTTACAAAGCATAACAAATTTAATCGTTGTAAATATTGACAATCCCATTAAAATGTCTTGGGGTGTTCTCAAGTGCCTAATTAATGGGTCGAACGTGTAAGGAATTAAATTTTCAAAGTTGAATACAATAGTGGTTGTTAACGTCATTCCGGCTAGCAGAAATTAGACAAACCAATCACAAAATGAGAATAATCTTCAATAAATGACATCTGAACTCGTTATTCTGGATATACCAACAACTTTGTTAAAATGTCGATAAAATTGGGCGGATTTTCATAATTCAAATAAATTTGAATGTGATCTTCGTGGCATCTAAAAATAGATTAACCAATAATATTGTTACAAAATCACAAAAAAATTTAATACGTATACAAGTAATATTAACAAAACTTTACAAGAATAACTTTACAAGACTATTTACAAGCAACATATTATTACTATATACATTTGATTTATAATATTATGAATTAAACAGCCTATTTATATTATTTATTATTTAATCCAACTATATCTATCTAACTGCTAATGATTCGTATAGTTCAATATATTAAATTCACTATAAAAAAGATGTATAGAATTTTTTAATAAAAAAACAAAATTTTAATTTACACTAAATATCTTAATTATACTTTACATCTTTAATTAGCCGTTTTATATTTGTCTATAGTTTATCAAGCTATAAACTTAAATCATTCTAGCTATATATTACAGTGCTCTAATTCTACATAGTAAATCTTCAACATTACTACTAGAAAAAATTCTTATATTTTAAGATCTTGAAAAACTATTTTGTGATCTATAAAATTAAAATCTTAATGAGTGTAAGTACAAAATTTAAAACTACTATATTAAAGAACAAATAGCAGAGGTTTCATAAAAGTAAATAGTATTTTAACTATTATATTAATAAACAAACCTTTGGCATTGCAACTAGCAAAAGATTTGTCTATTTTGGGATCTTTGAAACTAAAACCTTGTTACATATAGATACAAAATTTCAAACCACAATAAAAAGAAAAAAAATAGGAGCATTATAAAAGTAAATATCACATTAACTATTATACATATATATGCCAAATAAATTGACCAATTAATAAAGACTAATTTGCAATAATCACAAATTTTACTAATCTGATTGGTATAAATTGTGATGATTATATTCAAAAATATTACCAAAATGTTTATATATACAGTACATATAGCTTTTTTTTGGTATCTGATTGGGTAAAACAAGTAATCAGCAAAAATTTTTAGTGTATAATATATATATACATAACATGTATAGTATTGTCATAGTATATTACAACTTATAACTACTAAGTACCCCAAATAGAATATTTTATTGCCTTGCAGTAGGCAGATGGGTGTTAATGACAAAGCTAGACTTGTGTTGAGCTAGCAATAAAGATAAAGGAGTCTTCATTTTTTTTCTCTTAAATAGCTATTTACTATAACTTCTTACTTGCTATCATTCAATTAATTAAATCAATACTCATCACACAATATATAATATTTACTATTGGTGACAAAAGTACCAAAATTTAATACATTAAATTTGATATCATGGGACCCAAAAACATGTCAAAGCCCCAATTCAAAACTTTTATAGAATTAGAGAAATTGTGGAGAAATTGGTTTTCTTATAAAGCCCCAAGACTTATTGTTTGGGCAGTGCTAGAAGCTTAGCTAGAGGAGGCAAAGTAATGATAGCATCATAATTGGCTTGGGTTTAGATTAGAAAAAGTTCAATTTTGCTTTTTTTTTTGCTTCTATATATAATTTGTTATAAATACGAGCTCTTTTCACTCTTTAATAAGACAGCAATAAAGTGTGGTATTTGCTAAAAAAAATATCTCAATTTGAGTTAGTTTGTATTGTTCTCTATACACTAGATACTACTTTATCTTACCAAATCAAACCTGCCTCAAGTATTAAGTATATAAAGTGGTTGTATATCAGAATCCTGACACACAAAATCCTAACACACAAAATCCTGGCAACAAAATCACAATACACAAAATCCTGACAAATTTAATTCCTAATTTTAATATTTTTAGGATTTTAATTTGTCAGGATTTTGTGTATCAGGATTTTGTTGCCAGGATTTTGTGTGTTAGGATTTTGTGTGTCAGGATTCTGATATACAACCATATAAAGTAGTTTGTAGTATTGGTTATATATTCTTGGTGGTAACTATTGTGACCTGTTGTCACTAATATTTTTGGTAATAACTGTGAGATTTAGCATCCCACTTAAACTTAATAATATTTTCTTCTAGATTTTGTTTTTTTTTCTCTTGTTAAAAAAAAAAAAAAGAAAAAGCTAATTGTTTTTTTGGGGTTTAGAAGCCACTAATTGAAGCCTGGTGCTGGTATGCAAATAGATACAGTACAAGGAAAAAAAGGCATAAAGATTTTTCTTGTTTATACTGCCTATAAGTTATAATAATAGAGCCTGGTCTGGTGAGAAATAAGACCTATATGGAATAATAGAAAAGCAATATTTTTTTTTTGCTAAATAACAAATTAGCAACAGACGAACTAAAAAAAAAAACAATCTGGCTACCTAATCATCTAGTAGAAAGTGCAGATAATTTGATCATATTTTGACCAAAGTCATTTTTTACTACTAATACATATCCCAAATAAGGGTTGCTAAATGTAGCCTGTAGAAAGCTCTAAAGAAAGGCCAATAAAAACAAAAAAAAAAAATGATGAATTTTTATAACAAATTGAAGATGAATTGTACAAAATTAAGAAGAGTAATTTTGTATTACCAAAGGTCTCACTGTTTGACATTGCCCCTAGTCAAGTTGTAGAAAGGCCTATCAAGGCAAACAAAAGTGAAAAAAGGTACTCAAGTGTATGTTATCATAGAGGTCTTGGTTCAGAAACCTTGGACTAGTAAGATCAAATTGGAAAAAAGATTAGAAATATTAGGGCAAAAGCTAATCTACCCAGAAGAGCTAAGCAGAAAGAATCACCCTTCCTTACTGCTATAGAATACAACTCTGGTCTTCGACCTAGATAGAAAACAAGTAAAGTTACCTATAGTAAAAGCTCTTAAAATAGGTCTAGATAAAAATAGAAAAAAAATAATAATTATTTTTTGTATAGAGTTCTTCACGATTAAGAAGCATGTGGCTGCCAAGTTATTTTTTATAGGATATGAAAAATTAAGCAGAGAAGAATTGTTAGTAGTAAAAGCACCAAAATTCACTACATCAAATTTGATGTCAGAACCCAAAATATAACAAAGCCCCAATTTGAAGCTTTCATAGAATTGAAGAAATCATAGAAAAATTAGTTTTTTATAAAGCTCTAAGGCTTATTGTTTGGGCAGTGCCAAAAGCTTAGCTAAAGAAGACAAAGCAATAATGGCATTATAATAGGCATTGGCTTAAATTAAAAAAAGTTCTATCTTGTTTTTTTTTCTTTTTCTTCCTACATGTAATTTGTTATAAATATGGGCTCTTTTTGCTCTTTAATAAGAAGGCAGTAAAGTGTGATATTTTTAGAAAATATTTTGATTTGTGTTAGTTTGTATTGTCCTCCATATACTTGATACTGCTTTATCTTGCCAAATTATATCTGCCTTTAGCATCAAGTATATATGGTGGTTTGTGGTGTTGGTTGTATATTCTTGGTGGTAACTATTGCGACTCATTGCTATTAATATTACAAAATGCTTATAACAATCACACAATTAATCAAATCGATACTCATTATACAATATATTATATTTACAAATCACTTATCAGCTTATTAGATATTATAGGTGTAGATTATAATCTTGTAACAAATAGATGCCTTATAATTTTGTTTATAGCATCTCAGCTATGCAATTGTATCAACAGAAAGATAATTATGTTTAAATTTATAATTTGATTATTGTAATCTTTTTTTATACATGATCTTATATTAGTTTATGCAAGGTTTTTTTTAAACTCTTTATTAAACTTTTTTTAGAATTTTTTTTTTTTTTTTGAATAACAGAAATATGGTCAGTTAAGTTATGTATTAAAATAATGTGATTAATTGTCTAAAAGCTAAAACTGACAAAATTCCAATATTCAGACAACTAAATAGAGTCTTTACCTTGAAAATAACTTTATAAGACTATGTAGATTTTATAAATAAAAATTAAAATTTCTAGCCATCTAGTAATCTAATTTAAAAAACCTTTTTTTATTTTGTAGAGCTTAGTGAGTTCTACAAAATAAAAAAAATT